CCGAACCGGTTAGAAGAGATTCCACCAGTGGACCCAGAAAGCAGGCCACACCTACAGAAGAGGTTCCAAAAACTTTTGAAACCCACCACTCACAGAGAGAGAAAGAGAGAGAGAGAGAGAGAGAGAGAGAGAGAGAGAGAGAGACAAACTCACACAGAGAGAGAAAGAGAAAGAAAGGAAGAAAGAAAAAGAGAGAGAGAGATGAAAGAAAAAAAGGAAAAAGGGACAGAGAGACAAAAGGAAGGAGAGAGAGAGCGCGAAAGAGAGAGAGAAAACACATGGCCGGCAAGCCACTCCCACCAGGTCACATGGTTGGCAAGCCACTCCCACAAAGGAAGCCACACCCGCAGAGTAGGTTTGAAAAATTTTTGAAACCCACCACTGGCCTGCTCAGTCTCTTAACCTGTCCATTCTCTGGTAAAGCTCTGGGTGGCCAGCACTATCTCCACTGCTTCCCCAGAGGCACATTCCATCACAATATGCACCCAAACACTGAGAAAGGCACTCACAATTGATCTCATTGCAGATGATCAGCAAACGTCTTGAGTGAGTTGAGTGGAGCCCTTTCTCCAACTGCTCAGTGCAGGGGAAAGAAGCAAATTTGGCATTTCAGTCAGCATGCCTTCTCCCTACATTTGCAACCATGGAGATGGGTGTCTCTGCTGATAGTGCTTCAAAAGAAACGCCATTGTCTTTATAGTGTTTCCTTGCTATCAGCAACTAAGCCAGAAGTCCATATTTACATAGGCATATTTTCAACACTCTTGAAGGTGAATCCTCTTAAATAAAGCTACAGGGTCAAAGAAGCAAGGGGGTAGCGGGGAGAGGGGTAATCTGATGACTATTTGGAGGCCAGATATGGTGAGCCTGAATTAGCCAGAACCTGAAAAGAGGAGATAAGCCATCATCCTTGGTGAACAATTTGTGTAGACTTTATATGCATACTTCCTTATCTTCAACAGTAAAAGGTGGTCTGGGTTTCCCTATCTGATGCCTTCTCCAGATTATTGATCTCATTGCTCAAGAGCAGCTTTTGGGGAGGGCTATTGCTCAATAGCAGAGCATCTGCTCACATGCCAAAGATTCCAGGTTCAATCCTGAGGATCGCCAGGTACGGCTGTGGAAATCCTGTCCCAAACCATGGAAAGCTAGCATTGTTAAGTCAGTGGTGCCAAAAATCAGACCGCACGGAGCAGCAGGTGGGTGAGGCGAGTTACCATCTTTGGCTAAGCGGGATACAATCTGAGAACTGGAGTCTTAAGAGCCCCAGTTGGAGAAAGCTGGATTAAACGTAAACGTTTTTTCTCGTGAGAAAGTTAGGGGAAAGGCAAGCTGCTACAAGCTGTATGGAATTATCTTTCTGAGCTCATTCTGTTCCCTCACTCACTCAAAAGCATTTGGATGTTCTTTTTGGCTTGAAGGGAAAAAAAACGACATGAAGAAGACATGCTGGGACCTTCAGTGCATCACCTTGGGTCACTTAGTCCTCTATCAAAGGATCCTTTCCCTTCCCGAATTATTTTAAGCAGAGATGCAAGGGAATGACTCCGGGGCTTTGGGCCTGGAAAGCAAGTATCGTTCTCCTTAGCTTCACTCCTTCGTTTAGTTCTCCAATTCTGTTGCCTAGGGAAACTCCAATTTTAATAACGAGACTGACGTGAAGAAGAAAAAAAACAAGCAAAGACGGTTTCTCCCTCTGATGAATGGAGACGTCAGTCCTCTTCATGCTCACAGCTAGTGGCATCAAGCCGTCTTTCTGTGCTCATAACAAGCACAGGTCAAAGTAGCCAGAAGGGGAGACAGTAGGGATTTGAACTCGGATCTCCCCAGTTCTAGTCAGGCTCTTGAACAACTGCTCCTTGGTACTTAATGACCTAGAGAGGTTGGGGTATAAATGCAACTCTCGTGGGCAGTTGGAATACAGGACTGCCACCTGCCATTTACCTCCCAACGACCAATAAGATCACACAGGCTGGGCCTCCTCTGGGTGCCGTCGACCGGATAATGCCGGCTGGCGGCTCCCCGAGGGAGGCCCTTCTCTGTAGCTGCACCGGCCTTGTGGAACAAGCTACCTGCAGAGATCCGGACCCTCACCCCTCTCGCGGCCTTCCGTAAAGCGACC